AAGGTTTTTATGACTTTACGATTATTATGGTGCTTGAATATGCATTGAATGTTATAAGTAAGTGTGATATGAATGATAATTATAAATGGCATATGATTGGATTGAATGACATAATTTAAATTTTTTATGCACATAAATTAGGAGAGAAACGATGTCGTCAAAAAGGATTATTAATAGTAACGTTAGTAATGGCATGGGTTCAAGTCGAGTGTTCGCAAATTGAGAAGGAGAGTTGATGGAACTCGCTTAGGAGGCAACAAGAACTTATGGAATTGCAACAAAAAGACACGAGGAACAACTACAGAGGATTCTGAAAACGAGTCGGCATGGATTTGACAAAGTCGCCGCCACCATAAATGGTCGAAATAGTAGAATGTTTCCAAAGGTTTAATCCGAAGAAATTCAAGAGTGGCCCGAACCCCAATGTTATGGAGCAATGGATTTAGTCTATAGAGGTTATTTTCGAGCATTGACTCGACGTATGTTGATCGTCTAGTATGTGCGACTTTCATACTAGTCGGTGATGCCCGAAACCGATGGAAGATAGTGAAAGTATCCTTTGATGTGATGGGACTTATATAAAATCGATTTAAAGGGTTATTTAATGAGAAATACTTCTGGATGTCATGAAGTCTTAGAAGATTCAAAATTTTCTCCAATTGGTACAAGGAGATATGCCGGTGACGAAAAATGTTTGTAAATTTACGCATAGTTATCACTATGCCACCTTTATTGCTCGAAAAGAGGAAAGGAATAAGGAGCATTTCCTTCGTGGACTAAATGTTGAAATTAGAAGTTTTGTTCGAATGTCCAAGAATACCTATAAGGATATGGTGAAAAAGTTGCTTGGTATTGAGATTGATCAAAAGGAGTGGACCTAAGGACCACCTCTTGGTACAATTAAAAGGAGAAATGCTCCGAGTAGGTTCGAAGGACAATTCAATAGGAAAAGTCCGTTTACTCGTAATTGGCGTAGAGACAATAAGAAAGGAAAGGCACGGACGAGGCCACCAAGGATGAGAGAACAAGGAATACCAAAGTGTCCTAAATGTGACCATCCATACACGAGAGACTCGTTTGATGGGTATGAACATATGTTATTTATATCAAAAAATGGGACACTTGGCTAACAATTGTCCGATGAGGAATTCGATCGAAGGGCGACGCATTCTCGGGCAAGTATTAACACCGATGCAAGTCATTACTCCCCGCTCTCTTCGCAGATCTCTCAAAAACATGGTGTTCTCTTCAATTCTAGTCTATTTAAATCCTCTCAACTCGGTGGCTTCTAATGTTTTCTTCAATTTCCATCCATGTAGCTTTTTTAACCTTCCAAAATAAAGGAGTTATATCCGAAGGAAAAAGAAAGATTCCCATTCCTTCATGAATTTATCGAATGCACTAGATGTATGTAATTTGTGTGATCCTCAAATTTTTCAATCTTACACAAGCAATCAAGTCAACAACTAGGAAAAAGGAATGAAAGTCCCTTGAAAACCAAAAGCAAAAGTAGCTAAAAATCTCTAGTTTCAAGTGAGAGGTTAATGGATTTAACTTTCAGTTCCACAAGTGCACTTCCATCACATATTATTGTCATTTGCCTCAATGACAATCGTAATTATCTTTCATGAGCTCCTTACATAATATTCTGATTCAATTTAGTGGGAGAAACGTTGAGTTAAACTTCGGTGGAATTCAAGAACAAAATGAGATCAATAAGTGGTGCTAGTGACAAAAACTCCGGTTGAATTATAATACTACACACTATATAGCATGTAATCGTTAAGCGGAAGATATGCAATTATGATGGTAAGTTTCTCACAACGACGATGAGAGAGAAGGGATTGACCGTGTGAGTGTGGTGGAGAGAATCGATGGGAAGTAAGCGCTCGACGAGGAATAAAATTCAGAACGCATGTTGCATTGCTTTTATAAACCGTCACGTGATCTTATGTATAGTTAAAATTAACGGCACATATTTTTTTACCAAAAAAAATAATTTATAATATATAAATTAAAATTTTTTAAAGATTAGTTACTTAGCTAGGTTTGACGGAAAATTAAAGGTGTTTTTTTCAGTCATGTGGTGGGGACTGAAAGAAGGCATTTAAAGGCTTGAGGGCGTATTGGTAGGAAATGAATATTCTGTTGATGTTTCGAAACTTCTCACCTGAAAATGTCCAATATGGTCGATCTAATGTACCGATCGTTAACCCAGCCCATTCAACTTCTAGAAATGGGCCTATACCATACGACAAAGGAACATTTGCACGTAAACTCAAATGGCCTAATCTGTTCCTTGGTAATTACGAAATTAAATCTCCTCTTTGCAGATCAGAGGTAAAAACATGAACTTGAGCAGTGTGTTACGCCCTCACAAAGAAAGAGATTTTTTTAGAGACTAAAAGAGAATGTTAAGATAAATTTAGAAACCTCTGAAACTTTTTAGAGTATTGAAAAAATGTTTAGGATGTTTATAAAAATAAAAATAAAAAAATCTAAACTTGCCTTAAATAATTCTAAAACATCTCTTGTTATTTTATTATCTACATATCTAAAATATTCCATGTATATCCATATATAAGAATTCTAGATAATAAATTGTTATTGGATCAAATTCATCGTAACCATGCATTTAGAAAGAGTATAAATAAGTGATGCCCTCGTTTGACTATACCATTCAAAAAAACATCTCAGAATTATAATTTTAAAAAGTTATATTTGAAAGCAATACAATGAGTTTTCTATAATATCCCATTTGTATGATTTGATTCGGTTTAAAAGAAAAGTAAGTCAAGCGGCGTAAAACAATTTATAAAAAACCAAATTCATGACAAGTAGGTCAAAATGATTGCCTGAGTCAGATCAAATGTTTATTTATTTTCTTTTATAATAATTCATCGACGTCGTATTGTATACATATATAATCGAAAAAAGAAAGAACAAAAGAGTAATTTGTAAATTAACATTCAATTGGATGTTATTTGAGTGCCGTTTAAATTCTTTTAAACTCTCTCTATATATACAAAGTACATTCTTATATTTTGAAAGGTAATTGTTGTTAAACTAGGATTATTTATGATATGACTTATGGATGTGGGTTCTTCCTCTTAAATCAAGATGTTTGTTGAAGGCTTAATGGTGTTATCTTGTTGTTTGTGTTAGATATGCTTTTCTTTATTTTCTATTCCAAAAAAGTAAATTAAGTCATCAGATAAATTAGCTACATTCAAACTAACCAGAAATAAATTAAGTTTTTCTGCTGTCGTTTTTCTAAAATCTACCCCCAGATACTACAGTAGGTAATTTGGCCCATGAAATGCAAATCTAACAAAAATAAACGAGGAAATCAGAAGTGGAGTGCCAAGTAGGAGAAAAGGTCCAAATACGTTGACCATGAAGATTGAGTTTCACGTGTCAAGGTGTTGGAGGACAACGACGTCATCATCTTGCCACGTTTGAAAAATAAAGCCCACCGCTTTGTCAGATCTTCACGTGGATTTCTCATGCATCCTCTATGATCGAAATCCCTCTCCTCTCTCCCTCGACAATGTGATGTAATTACTTACAATCTCATCAAATTTGCGTCCAACCATCTCCAATAGAAACAAACAAGTTTTTTTTTTAGTGATGAACTTATTCTAAAACTAAACTCTCTCTCGTAGTCAGGGCATAAACAATTCGTCATACTATATATACACCATTAGTTTAGTTTATTTCAAAAATTATTATTATTATTATTATTTAGGAATGTCATGAAATAAATGCACCGGGGTCCACTAATCAACGATTTAAATTTCAGTATAATATATATATAATGCAAGTGCTTCTATAAAAAATTAAAAAAAGTTTACATTTGAGCTGGAAAAATTATTTAATTAATTTTGTTTTAAAAGGTTTTGGATGGTTTTTAGCCCAAACATATTTTTAAAAATACTTTCAAGCACAACATAAATGCATTACAAATTAAATTTTTAGTATAATATTACATATTTATAGTACTTCTTTTTGGTACTATATGATTAAATATTTGATGCTGACTTTTGAATTAATTTACCTAGAATCAGTTTAAATTCATCTGTCCTAAAACCTAATTAGTCTAATATAAATTATTCATATTGAAATTAGAGGAGTAATTAATAAAGAACCTGGCCTATCTAGAAATCAAACAATATATATTTGACGAAACTTGGAGTATATCTATTTTTTTGGCAACCATTACAACTCAAAAGTTACAAACTGATAATATTAGACTTGTATTTATTTATTGTACTCGATCAATTACTTTGTCTTTTTAAAGATTGTCTCATTGTACTACCGTGGAACGTGGGTTGCAAGAATTTTCAATGGCCAAGTGTCCCAAAATGACCGAAAAGGCTTGTAATTCTTATGCAGGACCAAGTGGGGGAACAATTGGCCTATCTGCAAAGAAGCCATTCTAGATTTTTCTTGGTAAAGACTTTTAAGTAGATTGTTTGCATACATAGTCTATCAACCCACTACTAGCATTTATTATTTTGCTTTCTTGGTTTCTCACATAGAGCAGCATATCTAGCGTGAACCTGTTCCTCTGCCAGTGCGACAATACTCTCATTGCAATGGTACTGTCGATATTAATATACCAAAGACAACACTTTTCGTCAGATTCTTCATTTTTTGTTGTTAGAATTACGCGATTTTGAGTGCCATGAAATCATCACAAAATGTGAAGGTGACCTATCTAGGCAAATGTAAGGGGAAGATTATTTTTAAAAGAGAAAAAAAAATTAATTAAAACAATGATTGACATGCTCACCTAAAGATTTTGAACAGTTGGGCATTGTATTCAGAGATTGTAATTATTGATGTCAATACAACAAGGATTACAGGGCCTAAAGATTCGAAGATAGAACAAATCAGATAGCCATGCATAAAAGCTAGCTCTTTACAACCCCACAAGCTAACATCACTATTCACTAGAAAAATGCATTTAAAAATCCAGCTCACTCACTCTTCATGAGCTAAGCATCTCCATAGTGCTGAACATTTTGATGATAATGAGCAGGCTGTTGGTGATATCCTTTTCCCATTGGGAGGTAACTTCCACTAGTCATTGCCACAGGAAATCCAATCCCAGCTGTTGTTGTTGGCCTATTAGCCTGAGCTCTCTCAAGTGACTGCACTTGGGTCTTCAAGAACTTAACATAATGAATTGCTTCATCTAACATAGAGGCAGTGTCCATTTTAGTCCCTCCAGGGACTAGTCTTTGAAGTATCCTTATTCTCTCACTTATCCTTTCTCTTCTATGGCGTGCAGCAACACTTTGCGGATCTTTTGATATCTTCACATTCCTACGTTTTGGTGGCTTCACTGATTCTGGGTCTATGTGAATTGGCTGCATGGCTGCAATTCGAAATATCATCTCCCTCATTGCTGCCACTGAATTCTTCTTTTGTGAAGGTGTAGCATAATCATTTGCAGTGCCTGGTAATTCACCAAGACCTCTCCATCTTGATGAAGATGGATTGGATAAGAAAGGTTGCGGGGATTGGTCTTGAATTGGGGTGTTGTTACTATCGAAAGATAGATTGGATGGTGGGTTCATAAATGGAGGTGAGCTAGCAATGTGTGGGTTATCAGTATTGAAATGCGGGATGGAGCTATTACTTGCACCAGCAGCAAGAAACGCAGTTGGGGATAAATGATCAGCAACATCGTTATAGGCACCGTAGAACTCGGGAAGCTTGTCCATCAGCATCATCATCTCCATCTGATCTTCTGTTGCAGACTTTAACTGGTCTATTTCCATGGCTTATATATGATCGATCAGTACTCTCTTTCTTTAAGAAAAAGAGAGTATTTCAGGGAAATTAAAGGAAGGAAAAGGAAAAAAAAAGAAAAAAAGAGACTATTTAAGGGCGCTGAGGAGATAACTGAGAAACTGAGAGACAGAGGGATGGGAAAGATAAAAGAGAAGAGTGTGTAGACTAAGGGTTTTATCAGAATTTGCAGTGAAGAAAGAAAGAAATGTAAGAGTTTGGAGAGAAGAAATGAAAGTGAAAAATGAATAAAAAAGTGAAAGATATCGGGAACCGACTATCAAACCAGTGTGAAAGACTATATATAACAAGTTGCTCAAATATTATATATATAATATTCTTGTAAACAATTCCTTTTCAATTATTCTTTGCAACTTTTTTATCACAAAGTTGGTGAGCTTTTGTTTTTCTCTCTCTCTCTTCCCTCTCTTTCTCTTTCTCCGTTATTAAGTTTTGCCATTTATATTACAATGTGATCACTAGCTTAGGGAAGTTTAAAAATCAAACTTGAGTCTTTTTTTTTTTTTTAAAGAAAATTAGAGACATATACTACATAGAGAATGGGAAAAAAAAACACGTTTGTATGTGTATATGTTAAGTTATAGGCTCCTCAATCAAATCTTTCCCTTTCAAAAAACCACTTCACACGACATTTATTGCTGCCTCATTTTGATTTTTCCAACCCCCAAAAGATTAGCTAGGGATAAATGTAAATTTGAGAATGTTAGGGGCTGAAGGCATAAAAAGGCTATTTTACCGCAAATAGGAAGTTGAAAAAAAAGTACTTTTTATTTATTTATATATATCCTAAAGTATTTGTTTCGTAAAAAAGTTAAATAATATATATTTTTTAAAACATTCATAATTGAAAAAAAAATTTCCTTCATTTTTTATTTATTAACAGAAAATCAATATTTTTAAATATTTTTCTCCATCATATAAAAATTTACCTTTTACATAAAAATTTTTATCAAAATTTTTTTGTTATATAAAAAATATTTACTTTTATAAAATTTTTACTACATGTCAAAATTTTGAAAGTAAAACATTTTCATTTGTATGTTATTTTTTTGTAATTTTTTTAAATTTAATCGTTAATTAATTTAATAATTTTTTTAATTTATCACCTTAATTTCAGATATATTTTTTATAAATTAGTATTATTTTTATTTGATGTAAAATTTTCGTTAATAAAAATAATATTTTTAAAAAATGAAGGTATTGATATAGTATAACATTTAATAATTTTATTAAATTGTGTGAAAAATAAAATGTACGGGTTTCTTTGAAATAGAAGAAGTAATTAATGATTGAAAGCGTTTGTTCCTTCCTTGATTTGAAGGGTTCGGATCTATCTACTGTTTGCAGCAGGGAGTACCATAAGTGCTTTTGATGGTGCATGAATGATTACGAGTATTATACTATATAATGCTGAGTGGAACTGTTGGGTCTCTTGTTATTACTACGACTTTGCCTTAAAACTCACTCTCTTAAAATCCCCAAACCCCACTCACATGACAGGTGTCAGAAATCTCACCAGACTCCTTTAAATGGGATACTCTTCCTAGTTGGCAGTGAGAATCCAGAGCCGTTGGATATATCGGTGATTCAAACGTGGCAATGGTCTAGTGGGAAAGACCTACTGTATTCTTCGACATGTTGCGTTATCTTGATTATACACCCTAAATTAACCTCCTCCTCTCATCGAAACGGAACGCTTTTCGAGGCGGATCAGGTTCTGCTGCAACAACCCTCCCTCCTCCCTGCTTCATGTGCTGGAATTGCCTAACGTCCTTTACCAGGGTGGTGAGTTAGCTTTACAAATAGAAAAGTCCGACTTTAATTCCCACCTTTTCATGACTACCTTTGCTACTTTAGGATGGGATCATAGGAAAACACACTTAATTCATCTGTTTTTGTTTTTCCTTTTTTACTCTTCTTTTTCTTCTCTCTCCGTTGAATGGATCATGCTAGAAAATCAATTACATCATGTTATTAATAGAGAATCTATATGTAATAGAATTTGAGCTAGTTCAGTTATATACTATTGGACATAAAAAATAAACATTAATTAATTTGATTTCTTTTCATCCAAGCACACGCTAAATTATTTTAACATCACTTCCAAATCAACGAAGAAAATTCAATATGTACAAATACGTTTGAAAGTCAAATAGTCAAATTAATTTTTCGAGTCTATATACACTATACAATAAAGGTTTGAAGTTGAAAAGAGAATAACCGTTGTAAATTAATATCTACATCTCCTCTTTATTTTTATTATGTTTTATATTTAACGATTGTAAGTATCATTAGATCAACTCATGTTTCAATTAATATTTAATTTTATTTTTGAATCATATCAAAAGGACACATCATCTATATCGACATGATTTATTCGAGATAATAAATCTTTGGAGCTATTATTTTAAGATTTTGAATTCAACAAATTAAAGAATAAAGCAAATTTTATTGATTACCAAAACTACCTGTTGAAGATCTAATTTTTCTTATTATATTTCTATAGTCATAAGTATTTTCCTATATTATAGTTATATTTTTTTATACATATTACATATTATAATTTCATAATTTTTCTTATTATATTTCTATAGTCAACTAAATAATAATGCCAAATTCACCTTTATCTACATGAACTTAGCAAGATCAACTGCATATAAGTGCTATTGTTGCCTCCTTATTACCTCTTAAGGTACTTTATTAATTATTGATTGTTTTTTTTTCTCGTAGCATTTGGTTTATTTGATAACACGCCTTAGCATCTTTTTCACATTTTTTAATTATGCAACTTCACATGTCACAGTAAGAACTCAAACAAAGAGATGTTTTTATATTTGTTTATTTGTAAAGAGTAAAGCAAATTAATGATGAATTAGCTTCTGCAACTACAACTAATATAAAGCAATTTTTTTTTAATATTATACAGAACTCTACATATAAATACAATATAATAAAACTGCAAAGAATATGCAATCATAAAGTGTTACATGTAAAATTCTTAGTCAATATATTTTCTTTACGATGCACGTGAACAAATTAGGAATTACCATTTGTACAAATATCATTGGTTGGCTTATTAGTTGTTTACTATCTATTGTATATAAAATGTTACGAAACGTTGTAAATCAGTGCATGAAATTTAATCTATTTCTTTTTCTCCTACATTTCTTCCTTTCTCTATTCTTTGTTATTCTATTCTCATCTCTTTTTCTTGATCAATTCTAAATTCTTCTTTTATTCCTAAATTAAATCGCATCAATTGATAGCGGAGCAATTCTTGGCACTCGTGGAAGGCTCAATTTCGATATGAATTATAGTAATTACACACATTAGTATTAATGAAAGACACCCTAATTAGGTGCTTCACTATTTATGAGTTGAATGATAAGAGTTATGTTCATGATCTTTGCTTTTAGTGTAATGTAAATATCACGGAGAAATCAATTGCAAGAAGCCATCATGGACCCAAATTATTGTGATCGATGATACTGGTAGAGAAATTCTCTTCATCTTGGAAAATGAAGAAATAGTAGAAAGTAAGAACCAATTGCTAGTCTCGTAGATTGATGAATCAACCGAAGGTGAAATCATCAATGGGAGTTTCCATGTAAATTCAAAGACAAACCCATTAGACTAAAATGACACAACAGAGTTGAATCAAGATTTGAATGTAACGACTCAAGAAGTCAATAGAAGCTTAATCGCTTAAAAAATTATATTCTTGAGTGTTTGGATCGGCTTGTTGCAAGATGAAAGCTCTACGAATGAAAAAGATAAGCTACCACCGATGAATCACACAAGAAATATGAATTAGAGAATCTAAATGTGATATTTCATCTTTTTTACATACCTAAGAATCGAGTCGAGTTGAACCCAATTTTTATATTACAAAGGTTGGTTTTATTAATTGTGTGGGTTTTGATGAAATGAGGGATAAAAAGTATGATAAATTTGTTCGATAAATTGTTCTTGATTCCATTGATAAATCTATATGAGAGAATTTAATTGATATTAAGAATCAATAATGTTATGACGATTTTGAGGTTCAATATATGATATTAGGCAAGATGAAATTTTTGAATTTCAAGTTTGAGAATGAGGATGTTATAGGAAATGATTTTGTAGGGGAGGATGGTTATGTTGGATGTGATTTCATGTGCCAAATTATCTATTGGAGTAATTTCACGTACTACCATCTTCTTAATGGTATGCATGTTAAGGACATTGAACCTACATATGGACCTCTTTGGTTAAAAATTCAAAGGTTGTTGCATTAGAAATGGAGGGTAAGTCTAGTTATACATATGCTCTACAAGAAGCATCTAATTGTTCATTTGAGTTTTACAGGAATAACAACATTGTATTACAACTAAAAAAAAGGCTCACTTTTAAAGCAAATATTGGCATTGAATTACAAATGGAATATGAATTTAGATTTGAAGCAACAATATGCTCAATAGAGATTAAGGAGAAGTTGAATGATGGGAATGGGATAATCATTGATAATTGTTTATGTTGCTTTCAACTTGGTGTGCATATGGTAGAAATTGAATCCGCAAATGTCCTCCTTTGGCTTCGATTGTTAGAAATTAAGCTATGAGAAAAGAAGAATTTGTTGCAAAAAGCATATGGATTAGGGAGCAATTGTAGCATTGTGTCTCAATATCGGTACACCTTGGTTACGGATGATTGCCATGATAAATTTTTGAAAGTCAAATTGGAAATACATTTCATAGTTGTGGAACTCTTTACGATAACTTTTGGGACCAAAAATACATTATTCGAAAATCTATGGAGTGTTGTTGTGAAAGAGCTTGACATGAGTGAATGTGTAGAAATAATAATTTTTAACTTTCATCCCGAAGGTTTTAGTTAGAGTGAGCTTTTAGCAGAAATGGGCTGGAGAGTCGAATCTAGTGGAGGAAAGTATTTGGTCAATGGTTGCTCAAAAAAGCTTAATGGCTTTAGG